CTATCAGCATTTGTTATTTTGTACTGAAGCTGCCACTGTTGGTCTCCATTGCACGGAAGCAGCACCAATCTTTTAGATTTAATAAGCACATTTCTGGTTTTATAGAAAAGCTAGACTTTTACATATACTCGTTCAGAGGTGGGCGACCATCTGGCCCATGTGCACTCAGGCTGCTGCCAGCTTCCACGCCCTGCAAGATGGGACATCCTGGGGATGCTCACCATTCCTCACCACTCTAGCATTCCTCACCACTCTAGGATTCCTCACCACTCTAGGATTCCTCCCCACAGGGGAGGCGGTGAGTCCTCTGTGCAATGGGCCCTTCCACAAGGTTTACTCTGCAGTGTCAACCTTCCCAGTCTGAGAGGGTCCAAGAGCGTCAATAGAACCCCGAGCTTTTTCCCACAGCCTGTCATTGGGAGCTCTTCCCTCGGATGCTTCTGATGAGAGAGGGCTGTGACTCTGAGAGGGGCCAGTACTTGAACACCTGGAAGGTTCCCCTTCAGTAGACTCCCTGGAACCTGAACAGTACATCTTCTCTATGTGGAGGCTTTTGCTCCCCTGCTGCATGCTAAGGATTGCTCAGGCAGTACAGCATGGGTGCTATGAGCTCAGACTCCAGCCTGGGTTCCAACATGGTTCTGCCACTTTCCACCTGGTGACCTCGAGCAAATGACTCACGCTCTCTGAGCCTCAGTTTATTCATCTGTAACAGCACCTACCTCTTAGGGTTGTTAGGAGGATTACTGAGTTAGTATATTTAAGACATTAGAACCATGCCTTGCTCAGGGTAAGCAACTGATTAGGATGACCTGGCCTCGTTATCAGTGGTGGTGGTGTGTGAAGGTGTGTTAGGGAGGCAGGAAACCACCACGGCTAAAAGCTCATGCTGCAAAGTACCCAGACATGGGTCCAATTGCCAGCTCTGCCCGTCAGCAGCCATGTGACCTTGGATGAGTTACCTGAACCTCACTTTTCCTGACCTATAAAATGGGGAGAAGTACATGCCCCTCCTGCTGTGTCTGACCGGGTGACCTGAAGCAGATACACAGCGCACAGCACGGGGACTGGCACACACAAGCACCTAATAAATGTGAAGATGATCTGACTTTAATTGTTACTATTATTTTTCATTGTTATTAACAACTATTGGATGTGAAATAAGGCCGGAGCTGGGACTGAAGGCTGCCCCTCATTAAGACTCCCAAACGGGGGCCGGCCCCGTGGCTTAGCGGTTAAGTGCGCACGCTCCGCTACTGGCAGCCCGGGTTCGGATCCCGGGCGCACACCGACGCACCGCTTCTCCAACCATGCTGAGGCAGCGTCCCACGTACCGCAACTAGAAGGATGTGCAACTATGACATACAACTATCTACTGGGGTTTTGGGGGAAAAAAAAGGAGGAGGATTGGCAATGGATGTTAGCTCAGAGCCGGTCTTCCTCAGCAAAAAAGAGGATTAGCAAGGATGTTAGCTCAGGGCTGGTCTTCCTCACACACACACAAAAAAAGACTCCTGAAAGGTTTCCAGCAAGTGCAATTTCTCAGACCTGGACACGGTGGAAGGCCTGCTCCTCCATCACAGTCATACTGGGTCTTCTCAGTTCTTCAGACCTTCAATCACAGGACTGAACAAGCCCTGGGGGCTCCTCTGCACCTGAAATGCTCCACAGTACGGGGCGTATAGCAGACTCAATCCCCATTTCCAGACCTTCTCCCCTGCCTTCCTGGAAAGCCAACTACTGGATGCTACAGCCGACACTGAAGTTCAGGATGCCAGCCATGTGGCACAGCTCTAGCTGATGGGAGATAGGGAGAACTCTGTCGAGGAGGTCTTCAAGGTCTTTTAAAGTTTAACTAAACATTCTGACTCACGAGGTCTCCTAAGTTCAACTAGATACAGGCGGTTTCCTCAGAGGGAATAAGGCAAGAATCATAGTTTGCTGGCTGGATTCTTCTGTGAGAGTCCACACAGAAGTCTGTGCAGCATCCACACAGCATCCAGGAGCTAGCCTCTATTGCGAGGGTACGAAACACCCATCAAGGAGGGTGTGTGGATCCTGGTTTAAGAGCTTCATGTTCCCAGAAGCCAATATCTCTGACAATCACTACACGGGTATGGCTTCCAGGATCCCCTCAAGCGACGTGTCCAGTTACAAGAGTGCCCTCCATGGGAAGCCCAAAGCTCTGGCTCCCTGCAAGGATTATAGTTCTCACATCTAGACGCAGTCTATGATATTTACTATCTTGTGTGGACATCTGCCCTCTTCTCTCTTCCTGCCAGAACGGGAAGTGGTGTCTGGAGCTATACAGACACTGTGTGACGATGAGGTAACATGCCTGAGAAGGCCAAGAGGACGAGAAACGCTGATCATGACATCATGAAGCCACTGCACCAGCAGCCACTCTCCTCTAGACTTCTTTATCCAAGACACACACTTTCCTATTTGTACGAGCTCATGGTAGGTGGTATGGTGTTACTTACATCAAAATGCATTCCTAAATGATAAAGTGTCTAATTTGGGGATAGTTTTCTCACATTCATTACACTCTAGGGTTTTTCATCATTAGGACTATCTCTGCCTGTTGCTGAGTAAGATTCTTGGTCCATAAAGGCTTTGTTGAATATGAATTCTCTAATATTAAGGGAGCTGGCCCTGGTGGTCTAGTGGTTAAGATCCAGAGCTCTCACCACTGCGGAACCACACCACTTGTCTGTCAGCTGTCATTCTGCGGCAGCTGCGTGTTGCTGGGATGCTGAAAGCTGTCACCAGGATTTCAAACACCAGCAGGGTCACCCTTGGTGGACAGGTTTCAGCAGAGCTTCCAGATCCAGACAGACTAAGAAGAAGGACCTGGCCACCCACTTCTGAAAAAATTGGCCATGAGAACCCTATCAATAGCAGCAAAGCATTATCTGATATAGTGCTGGAAGGTGAGAGGACGGCGCAAAAAGACCAGACAGGGCTCTGCTCTGCTGCACACAGGAGTCGCTAGGAGTTAAAATTGACTCAAGGGCACTAACAACAATATTAAGGCATGTGCTTTTGCTTGAAGGTGTCTATATTTTCATAACAATCAAAGGGCTTCTGTCCAATAGGAAACTCTAAATTAAGGCTGTCCACACTGGTGTGAGCTGGTCACAAGCAGCTTTAGCCAGTCTGAATTGGTTTGAGGCCCCCAACATCGTTTTGATTTGATTTGGAACAGTCTGAGCTGGTACAGAGAAGTGAGTCTTCCAGAATGCTAGCAGCTGGAGGGACAGCTCAGGGCACCCAGGCATTAACACTGCCTCCTGATCCCTCTCCACCTGTCTCCCCCGCAGGTATGAGGCTGACTCAAGGGCCAGGGGAGGCTAATGTCCAAATCGCTTCCCTAGACAGTTTGAGGGAGTTCTGTCCAAATGACGCTGTGAAATGTTGACAAGTGAGCTTCTTGGATCCACAGGAGCCTACCTCACTGGAACAGTGTGACAGGCGCAGCCCCATCCTGGCATTCTGACCTCCAAGGAAAATGGTCCTGGATGTGCTGCATCTTCCCCTATTTATGAGATGCTGAGTCCCATAAATCAAGAACCTACTCAAACCCTACAGTGGGGGGATGCAGTGGGGGTACTCTCTTCCTGCCAATTGTTAGGTCCTGAAAAATCACAACTATCATCATAACCTGTTGTGACCTGATGAAAACCAGTTTGATTCAGTTTGAATTAGCTAAAACTTGCCTGAAACCACAGCGAAACTGCTGGGCAAAATCCATTTGAGCCTATTTGAATTGGTCAAATCTATTTGAATTATATAATATTGGTTCTGACAGTTCAAAAGTGGATTTTATCCAGTTTAAGCAATAGAGAGCCAAAATAATGCTGAAACAGTCAAAACTGGGTTGAGCCAGTGAACTCACTGTTAACCAGTTTGAATGGGGTTAGCCTGGTTCAAACTACTCCTTTGAAGGCGAATTTGGGGGCTTCAGCTTCCCAGGCTGGTGGCGTAGCGGTTAAGTTCTTGTGCTCTGCTGCGGCAGCCCAGGGTTCGTGGCTTCGGATCCCGGGTGCGGACAAACACACCGCTTGTCAAGCCGTGCTGTGGCGGCATCCCATATAAAGTAGAGGAAGATGGCCACAGATGTAAGCCCAGGGCCAATCTTCCTCAGCAAAGAGGAAGATTGGCAACGGAGTTAGCTCAGGACTAATCTTCCTCACATACACACACACAAAAAATCAGGGTAGGAAAGGTTTAACGTCTTTTATTTCTGAAGATTAATTTACCTTGCTTCCATAAATATTCATATAAATTAATTACTAGCTTATTGAAAGAATTAATAAAATTTACATGGTGTATTATAACATACTAGCAAGGGCAAGAAACACCCTTCTGCAAAGAGAAAGATCCTACCTAAGAAGCTCTTCACTGTGTTGTTGGAGGACCTCCTACAGGAGCCCCCTGAGGTTACCAGATGCACATAGACAATGCAAAGTTTGCTCCACCAACAGCCAAGCTGGCATGCTCCCCACACCAAAAAGTGATACAGAACAGAGCAATCAGGATTTTTTTACTGAATGTTGAATTGCAATATTAACCCCCTCAAAAAAGACAAGAGAGTGAAGGAAAATGAAGATTCTAAAAAAAGAATAACAGCCTGAATTTGGATGAAATTATATCCATGCTAATCAAAAGTTTTAGATCATAATTAGCTGCTTATACAGACACATTTCAGTCTATTAATTCAATCACCAGTGTCATGTGTGAGGCCGTTACTGAGGGTGTAATTAGATGGGATGGTCTACTGTTCCCTAATCAATTTCCCCCACCTCAGCCCTGAGATAGGCTTATACAGCATCAAATAATCAAATGCCCAAGCACCTCGCCTCGTTACAGCACCATCTTCACCTTGAAGGTGTGCTTTCTAAACACACTTTGCAGGAGGAAATCAAAAGTAAAAGAACCCTTTGCTTTGACATAAAAATGCAACTGCCCCCTGAGAGATAAAATTCAAAGTCACTTACCAGCCACAAAACTTGGAAATGACGCCACCTTCTTTGTCTGTTAGGAAATATGAAAAAATAAAACAATAGTTGTAAGCAGACAGCCCATAAGATCTAGGCTAAAATGAGTACCATAATGTGAAAAGTTCAACCCCATGATTGACTGGCGTTCCCATGAAGTCAGCTCAATGCAGCAATCCAGTCTCATTCAGGCACCATGATGTTTGGGAGGGGCACCTGTAGTCAATTCCCAAGGGAAAACTTGAGACACAAAAGCCCATCATCTAAAACCCAGGGACTCTCATATTAGCACGTCACTGCTAGAGGGAGCCTAGAGACCATACAACCCAGTGTTTCTCCAACGGTGGGCATGAGAATTCCCAGGGTACGTCTTTAAAAGCAAGATAAAGGAGACTGGACACCACTCCATGGATAGCCATAACTTTATTTCATCAAAGTTAGAGAATCTCATCCAGACTATGTTATCCAGAAAAGAGAAATAACTTGCTTATGGCCTCAATTTAATAACCTGCATCGTGGCAATGTTAATTTATATGGGATTGTTTTTTAAAACCATGGTGTTGGTTTAGTACAGTGATTCTAAACCAGGACTTCTGTCCCCAAGGAGACATTTGGCAATGTCTGTAGACATTTTTGGTTGTCACAACTGGGGTAAGGGGGTTGCTGCTGGCATCTAATGGGTAGAGGCCAGGGATGCTTCCAAACATCGAACAGTGCAAAGGACAGCCCTTCACAATAAAGAATTAACTGGCTCCAAATGTCAGTTGCGCCACTGTTGAGAAACCCTAATTTTGAACATGCTTGTGAGATAATGGGGTAGAATGAGTTTCTGTCAAATCAGGAGAGCACCAGTGACCCCCCACGCACCAAGAGCCACACATGAACACACCATGGTGTGGGGCTAAGTCAGCAGAGAAGGGTCTTTCCTGCCTCCTCCAGGACCAGCGGCCCTCATCTCCTCCTCCTACAGGGATACCCAACTTTGCTTGACCAGACTTCCTCCCCACCAGGCACTGGGTGGGAAGAGAACATTATGGAGAGGGTGAGCAAACCACAACAGGGTGGGCAGCTCCAACATTAGGACTCTGGGTCAACAACTCTCATCCTTGGAAAAAATTACCTCCGGGGTGTTGTTATTGTCAACGGGTCCATTGAGATCAGAGCGCTGCTGCTTCCGCGGCTGTTCCAAACCATTGCAAACCTGGAAACCAGAAAGTCAAAGATAAAGACGGTGTTTTCATATGTTAGAAAAATAAACCAAGATAAAAAACTGGAGATACAATACGATATAATTTTGTAAAACGCATGTGTATGCAGGTATGTATGTGTATATACAAATGTGTGTGTGTATATGTGTGTCTGCATATATATGGAATATGTGTGCATACAGATATAATTCAATTAAACTTTTCTGCAATTAACGTGTACTTTTTTTTTTTTTTTTGTGAGGAGATCAGCCCTGTGCTAACATCCGCCAATCCTCCTCTTTTTTTGCTGAGGAAGACGGCCCTGGGCTAACATCTGTGCCCATCTTCC